CACACAGACACATAGGAACAAGAAGGGACAGGGCATTGCTGCAGACAGGGCTGTTTCTCCCACAATTAACACCACCGCCGTCATTATTTCATGGACACCGCAAATAAGAAAACTAGCTAGCTCCTCGCGACAAAGGCTGCTGCGAGCTGCTCACCCACGCCGGGTTTGTGGGCGCGCTCCTGCTGTACTTACTGCTTATAGTCTGTCTGTAAGTTGGCTGAGTTGGGCTCTGTCCATGGATCAAAAGTAGAGAATCCAGGGTGGAAAGTTTTCTTGTTTCCTCCTTTTACGTTCCTGTTTGCTTCCTTTCTACTTCCTTCCCCCTCCCCACCCAGCTGACCCCCCCTTTTCCTTGTCCTCGAGTCCGAGCTTTAAGGTCCTGGGTCAGGGTGCCTTCTTGGGCAGAGCTGGCTGTCACGAGTCAGAGCCCCTTCCACAGAGGGCAGCCGGGGTAGTGTATGGGGGTCGGGGGGGGGGGAAGAGGTGAGGGGACTGGCTCCGGGGGGGGGGAGGAGACGCCCGACTTCTCACACCTTCGGCAGAGAAAATCAATCGCGGGGGAGAGAGGGGGTGGCGAAGGGGAGGGAGGCCGCGTCTAAAGGGGCCGCTATCCCGGGCAGCGGGAGGAGAAGCGGCAGCAGGAGGAGCCGGGAAGCGGGCGCTTGTGATCGCGGTGAAGAGGCGGCAGCCCCCGATGTGTCACTTTCAATCGCTCCCTGCTCTGCCAGCAGCAGCAGCAGCAGGGACTCGCCAGAGCGAGAGGAGAGAAATGATTATTAGTTGCGTTGAGTCATCAAGGCAAAGTGAGTCCTTTTTGGGGTTGTCCTTGGTTTCAGTGCCTGTGTGTGTGTGTGTCTGTGTGTGCGGTTTTCCTGTCCCCAGATCTTTGCATCCAAAATAGCAACCACCTCCCGCCCCTGCCTTCCTCCCCTCCCCCCACACCCCCAATAAATAAAAGTCTCTGGATAAGCTCAGCTCAGGTACAGCGCGGAGAGAAGCACCCCCCTCCCCCCCGCGCCCCAAGCCACGGCTGCTGCAGCTCCAGCCAGCCCCGCTGCCTGCAGAGGGGTGGGGAAGAAGGGAGGGAGGGAGGGAGGGAGACCCGCCTGGCAGGAAATTAAACACCAATAAATAAATAATGAACGTCTCCCCGGAGCGCGCACACGGGCAGGAGAGCCAGGCGCTGCGCCGGGGAGGCAGGGTTAGGGGCAGGAGGCGGGGGAGAGAAGGGCACCCGGGGAGGCGGAGCCGGAGCCGGAGCCGGGCGCTCTGTCCGTCTGCCCGCGGCTCCGGGCCAGGGGGCGAGCGGGCGGCGTAGAGAGAGGCCCGGCTCGTGACAGCGGGAGCAGCCTGCCCACGGCGAGTCGCTGCCGGGCACGGCCTGGGCTGGAAGTTGCGCCCTCCGCCGGCTCCAAGCCCACCCCCGCGGGCAGCTGGACACGTGCAGCCCGGGGGAGTCGGGCCTCGGCGGAGGCCGGGGGCAGACAGAGGAGCGGCCTCCCCGCCATCCCCGGCTGCAAGGTGCAGCCGCAGCCCGGACAGTCCGCCAGCGCCGGGCTCTGGGGCAGGGGCCAGCGGGCCGGGGCCCTCCCGCCCATCCCCGGCGGCAGCCCCCGGCCTCGCCGCTGCCTGGCTGCGCCTGGGCCGGGGAAGGCGGGGGCGGGGGGGGGGGCTCTGCCCGCAAACGCCGAACCGCGCCGCCAACTGCCCGGCCCCGCTCGGGGCCGCCCCGCAGCAGCCGAGGCGGCGGTGGCACCAGCTCCGCTTTAAGGTGGACCGAGGAAATTGCAACCCCCTCCAGCGGGGCGTCCCCGCCGCTCGCCCATGCCCAGCTCCCGCTCCGCCAGGCACCAACCGACTCGCCCGCCCGCTCAACGGCGCCTATTGCGGCCGGCCGGCCGAGCCCCCTTCAGTGGGCCTGCTTTTACGGTGGCGCCGGAGGGTCAAAAAGAGGGGTAGAAACGCGTTAAAGGGGGACACATGGGAGACCTGAGGATTGTGGGGAGGGGACTGTTCGTGGAAGCCTGCGGCTGGGAGCGGGAGAGGAAAGGAGCCCAGCCAAGTGCGGGGGCAGCGGGAACGGGACACACACGCTCCCCTGGCTCTGGTCTGTCACAGACCCTTTGGGGAGCGGGGTTCAGTGACTGCCTTTGGGACCGGGAAGAAGCTCCGGGCGACCCCCCTGTCCACTCTGCCCAGCCCTGCCGAGGAGAGGGGGCTGCGGGAAAGAACAAGCTGCAGCCCCTGCTCCCCAGTAATATCACCTGGAGCAAAAGGGGAGCGCGAGCAACAGTAACTCCTTTCCTCCACCACCCCACGCGTGCCCAGGACAGTCTCGGCGGGCTTTGGAGGAAAACCAGAAGCAGCAAGAAGAGCAGCAACTTTCAACCCCGCCACCAATGTTGCGCTCCCGTGTGGGGGCGCCGGGAGGGGGGGGGTCAAATTATCTGGAGGTAAGAATAAGAACGAGCAGCACTAATAGCTTCACACCCATCCTATTATCTTAAGTCCGGAGAAAGAAGCAATCGCAGCAGCTCCCAGCCCCGTCGCCACCATGTTTGCAATCCCTGCCGGTAGTCTATGGACATCATTTGGAAGTAGAGCAGCAGCAATGCAGTTTCTTTGGGGATTTGGGCTGTGTGGAGCTTGCAGCCTGGTGGTTGTAGCCGCGGTGCTGCTGCTCTTGCTTTTCCTCCAGACGAGGTTAATAGGTTGCAGAGGGATCGTGTCTCTCTAAGGGCTTTGGGCCGTACAAGGAAGTGGGGCTGGGAGCCTGTGAGACGCGGCGGAGCTGTGACCAGGGTAAGAGAGAAACTCGCTTCACTCCAGATCAATCCCGGTGCAGCAGCAGGATTCCGCCACCCCGGAAAAGGCAGCAGCTGCTCGCCTCCCATCGCTGGGGCGAAGGACGGGTTCCTTCCCCACGCAGGGGAGGGGGAGGACCAGCGATCTCTCGCTGCGTGGCTACGAGGCGTCTCGACAGGGTGTAATCTCTGCCCCCGGGTCCGGAAGAAATGGAAGGGGTGGGGGCGGGGGTCGTAGCTCCGGGTCAACTTTGTGGGACCCAGAACTAGAGGCTCCTGCCAGCAAAAGGTAGGGAGGGTGGCGTGGGGCGAGAATTCTCCACGAGGCACGGAGCAACGACCCGCTCGGACAGTTTGCATGACTTGTTTAAGAAGGACTGAAAGCTAATGCATCTGAAAAATGCAGACTTTGGAGGAGTTTAATGCAAAGTAGCTGAAGTATGTCAGCCAGATTTCGTATTTGAAAGATGACAGGTGGGGGGGGGGGAGAGAGAGAGAAGAATCCTGGAAGTTTGGAGAGCAAACTTTTTTCAATACCCTAGTGTAACTGAACAAAATAAACTGCGTAAAATGCTGTTGTGGGTTATATATGGAAGTTCGTATTTTCTACCAACTATTGAATAATTAAATAATGTTGATTTATTCTTACCTTCGATGTTGAACTACGAATTCCTTCGGATCAATGGCCAGAAAGTTAGAAGAATTGGTGATTTTAGGACTTCAGTACTTCTGGAAAAAAATACCAGTGGTTTAGCCAGGATCTTCCCTGTTTGATTCGTCACTATTATTATATCTGATGATGTGGATGGACAGAGTCAACCCAAGCTCATTAATGAGCTATTTTATAAACACCACCGTCTGAAGATCTTCATTTACATTTTGTCAATAATCCTTTCGTTAACATCAGAGACGTATGTCAACAGCATGATTACAGGACTTTAGCAAAGTTCCTATAAAAGAATACAACTGGCTTGTTAATCGATTAATATTTTATTATTTGTAAATATTTTATAAAGTTTTTAGGGAAACTATTGATTCTAAATTATTAAACCACTCGGTGGGGGGAGTTGAATAATGCATACAATTAAATACATTTAAATATATACGTTGCAATTGCTTTATTTTCAATTAATCCATTGCACCTCTTTTCTGGTATGGGTTTGGGAGGGGGGAGGGGTTGGTCTTTTTTATTTTATTTTTATTTATTTTTTTGCATTTGTGCGTTATATGGAGAACAAGAGCTGCAAACTTGTTTTCTGTATATAAAATTCCTTAAACTTTGCATTATTGAGTAGTAATAATTGTGGCACGGAAACTGGGAGGATTATTATTAAAGACACGCAAAACTGAACCGATTACTTAAATTCTGCGGGTTAGTAATTTCTGTTTCTTTAACTTTATTTTATTCAAACAGATTTATAGGAGATTTTGAGATACATGATGTTTATTTTTCTTTTACAGAATACTTCCCAATAAAGGCCTTTTCTGTTTCAAATTACATATGCTTTTTCCAGTACAAATTTTTCACATTTATTTATTTCAACTGGGGGGGGCAAGCGATTACTTTCCACCGCATTTTTAATATAAAAATAACAAGCTGGCTTCTCTTTTATTAATAACTTCTGCTTTTTCGTCATTTAGAACAAAGTCAAATACCAGGGCTTTCTGTTTGGACCTAGTCTGATGAATGCAAAATGGATGCGCTTATTAGCGTGCGACAATTATCGTTATTTTCGTTTTTTAAATCCTCGCGTGGTGTATTGCCAAATAATTTTCTGAACACAAATCTCAGTGGAAAGGTTTGTTTTTAATTAACTGTCACTTTTCCAGCCAACACGCGATTTCAAGTTCCAGCGTTGTCCGACCTTCAAAAAGCGCAAAGAGCCGAAGGCTGTGGAGTTTTTGCAGATTTTCCTGGACAACTATTGCGCTTCCTTTCTCGGTTGTTCATCTGCTGGGCTCCGTTGCGCGGAGTTTGCGACATTTGAAAGTTGTCCCCGCCTGGGATCACAGTGGGAAATATTCCTTGCTCTTCGCAAATTCTCCCCCCGCAATCGAATGACAAATTACTCCTAGTCAATACGATTTCCTTCTTTTCCTCTTTCCTCTAGGAGCTGCCTATGTCTCTCGGTATCTAGCTCCTTTCCTCACCTTCCCTATTTTTCTTTTTCTTCGTAGAGGCCCCTGCTGCCCTGACCCTGCCTTGTGCCCCCGTCTCCCCCCTGGCTTCCCGTGGGTGCTGTGAGCTCGGACTCCTCTTACGCCTGCCACCGGACTTGGAAGCGCCGGGCTCCCTGCAGCCGGCGGCCAGGCTGCAAGCAACAGGGGGGTAGCCCTGCCCTGGAGAATCAGCGGGTACTTCGTTTTCTATTTACTCCGCCGCTTTGAGTGCCGGAAGCCAGGGCCTGTCTCTGCATCTCAGCGGCGCTCCCGGGCCAAAGGGGCTGTGCAGCGCTTGAAATGCACCGACTGTTGCTGGGGGGCCGGGGGGTGGGGCGGTTAGTTTCTTTCCCGGTGGCTAAATCAGCGGAGGGCAAAAGGCCTGGAATGGCCCAAACCTCCACCCGCAAAGGGAAACCCCTAGCGGAGCGCAAGGAAAGGCCACGAAGCCAGCGCCGGCTAATCGTGCACATGAACTGTTCATCCTCCGAGCCCCTCCCTGGGAAGGTCGCTCCGCATCGCCTTCGGGGCTGAGAGCGGCGGTGGGGGGGAGAGTCCGGAGCGGCTGCACCGTACTCCGCTAGGGGTGGTGGCAGGCTACAAGCCTTGGCCAAACCCCTGCCAGGGGTCGGAGGCAGGGCATGGGCTGGAGAACAAAGGAGAGGGGCAAGAAACCACGCAGCGCCAGTGAACCAATGTGCCTTAAAACTCATTCTCTGGTGGCAACAGTTACGGCAAAAATGCGAACCACGCAAGTGAAGGGAAACAAAGCTCGCCCCGTCTCTAGAGCTGTAGGGCGCGTCCCTCTCTCTCTCTCTCCTTTATCTCAATCTGGAGGCAATTTGGGGACTGGAAAAGTCTGGTGCGGGCATTGGGAAGTGAGGGCCCGGCACAAGAGGTAGGGAAGCTGGCGAGAGAGTGGGGGAATCGGGGAAGGGAGTGACAGACGGGGGTGGGGGGACTGGGACCAGGGGAAGGGGCAAGTGCGGATGGAGGAGGGGGAGAAGGGAAAAGAAGAGTAGGGGGGAGTGGGGAAGGAAGTCTGAGTGAGTGGTCGGGGTAAGTCGCCTGGGGGAAAGGGGGTGGGGGCCGAGATGTTGCGGGGAAGGTGCTCAGGTTCTGGGGGTGGGCTTTGAGGGACGCTTCGGGCTGGACTCTAGCTGGGCTCCCCTGGCCTGGTGGGGATTTAATGCGGGTGTGATTGACCGGCCTGTGGCCAGGCCCGCTCTGGACCAGAAAGGAAAGAAGGAAGCTTGGTGCTCCTGGCGCCTCACCTTTTCCTTCTTGCCCCCAGATGTGCCAGCATTTGCAGCTGACCCCCCAGAAAAGGGGAGGGGTGGCATATGGCCGAGGGGAGTGGAGAGGCTACCTCCGCGCCTTACAGCTGCAGCGCGGGGACACAGCTCCCTCTGCCCCAGGCTCCTCTCGCAGCTCCGGCTCCGCAGCAGCCCGCGCCGCGTCACCGGCCACGGGGAGGCTCCTGCTTCCGTCGCCGGCCCAGCTCAGCGCCCCGGGACCACCTAGGCCCCGCGCTCAGCGCCGCCGCTCCCGGCCCCCAAGCGGAGCAGCCCCGAGGCTGCTTGGAACAGCGCCACCGCGCGGGGAGCTGCGGGAAACTCAAGGCCGGGACCCGGCCGCCTCGCGCTGTCAAGGGACTGGTGCCTTGGGGGACGGCCAGCCTCACCCCTGCGGGGAATCAGTGCTGCGGAGACCCCCGGGGGAGCTGACCCGAGCTCCAGGGAGCCCCCCAGGCGCGATCGGACGTGCGATCGCGCGAGGCCCCCCGGGCTGTTTGTTTCCCCTCTCAGCGTCCTTCCTCTCTTCCCAAGGGCAGAGTCCATCCAACACCCACCCCCGGGGCACCTCGTTGGTAAGAGTGCATGCAGGGCTGGTGTTGGTGACCGTACAGCCTTGTTATAACGACTGGAGAGTGCGTGAAAGTGGACACCCTCCCTCCCCTTCTTGGAGCGGGCCCTCTGGATTTCACTGTGCTGGGGAGAAGGGAAACACAGCAAGGGGTGTAAGGGAGAGTGGGGGGGGGCGGGGGAGAGGAAACCTGGGGAAGGGAGGAAGGAACCTGGTGCATGATTGTATTTTTCTTTCCTACCATTCCTTCCTGATTCTGGGGGGGACGGACCCTGATTCTCAGGAGCAAGCCCTCAACCCGAGAGCCCCTTGAATGCTGCCCATTTCCAGAGCTGGTGCCCTGTTCCTTGGCACTCTGCAATCCCCAGTATTACAACGCGATCACTCACACGGTGGAGACGGAACAACACGCACCGCAAGCTGGCATGGCCGGAAGAGGAGTGAATTAATAAAGTCCCAAGGTTTCCCTCCCCTTCGAGCAACTATTACTCTTCACAGTTGTGGGATCAGCACCGGGCTAGAAACTGCGTCGTGCACGGAACACAGCCCTGGTGGTGGGGACAGATTTAAAGAGCAACGCTGCCTTCAGCCTCCTTTCACTCCTAGCAGCCCAATAAGGGACAGTCTCATTTGCAGGATTTTCTAGCCAACTGTATTCATTGCGCCTTTAAATTCAATGTAGGAGCACAACCCATTAATCCAGCAGTCAGGCGGAACAGAGACCGGCAGTGACCGCAGCTTCTGGGCGCACTGAACATGCTTATTTAGCACCAAAGATCAAAACTACTGGCCGTTTTAGACCTGGCTACAATGCTGGGGAGAAAGGCGACCCTCCGCCTTTGGCCTTGTCCAGCCATATAAACTGGTTGCTGAGACGTTGGCTGGCTGTTCTGCATTACAGAATGCAAATGCGAGCGTTAAAGGCTACTTTCCTACGGCCGCGGTTTGGGTTTTGTTTGCGGGGGGGTGGGGGGGGTACTGTATTTGTACCGAGAGGCTTTTTTAAAAAAAAAAACACCTAAAGACGCTCAAAGGCATCAGATCTTTAAACAGATCATTTTCATGACGGCGATTTCTCAGCAAAGGCTGCCCCCAATCCTCCACATTCCGCCGTCTGAGGACTTTATTATTAAACAGTGTGCTACTAACCTGAATTGCATGGAGCGGGACCTGTGGATTTGTACTGTACAACTGGAACAGATGTATTCTACAGCTGGAACTGGTGCAAATACAATTTTACCCAAAACAAATGCATACGAAAACCCTGGCCGGGGATTTTATAAGTAGAGATAACATAGTTCATAGAAACGCTCGCTAAAATGCTACTTGAGACAAACAACACTGATTTTGTAGATAGGCCAACACGTGCTATTTTCCAGGCCCGAGTCTGCTCCAGTTCAATCAATAACAAAACTCCCGTGATTTCAACTACATCTAAGAATTAGAGAGGTCGCCTTTTCCTGACTTTGGCATGTCACTTATTAAAAACAAAAGTAATCTGTCACAATGTTCACGTGCTGATGGATTCTCAGTAACTTAACAGCAAAAGCACAAACGTGTTTGAAAAGCCAAGTTTCGTTTCGCTTTAAACTACAAATATTATTTAGTAATAAGCGTATTGTATAAGAGTTGAATGGAAAAAATAATGATTTACATTTTCTGAGATAGCTATCTTTTACATTGTACAAAGGTTAAATGTGTTCAAACTGTTTTGTTTTTCATTACTATTAAGAATTATTTTTTAATATTTATATAACTCTATATTGTTATATTTAAATGTTATTTACACTTTTAAATAGCGTGCCTATTTCCGAAATATTAATATTTGCTTTATGATAATTTCATGCTAGTCAATTAATGTTTATCAATTATATATTTAGGAAGCTTGTCTTCATTAGCGTGTCATATGTGGCTTCTTTTATAAACGTGTGGGGGGGGGTTAAAATGATTAAAATGGAAAATAAAGCAGTCATCTTCTATGCGATTTTTCTCATTTAAGGTGACAGAAAGTATATATCATTTCATGACAAGTGTTTTTATTTTGTTTAAGGAAAAATTATTTCATGCGATAAAATAAAAGTTACGTAACAAGTACTCGTGACAAATACAATCAAAACACCACATCTTTTAAACTCCCTGCTACTAAGCCACGGAAAGTCAAATGAAATGCATCTAGATATAGGATATGCGAAGAGCTGCCGTTTCCAATGCAAACTATGTCGACACAACGAAATGAATATCATTTCTCTATCACAGGGCCATAATCTATAGCTAACAGATGCCGTAAGGAATCGCAAAACCAAAATACGTACATGAATGCAGAAGTGAGCCTCAGATCTGCATTGTTAGCCCAAAAGCGTTTACAAGGGTGATGATTTCACAGTGGCGAATACTGTTCTTTCCTAGTTATCTCACGGAACTGTTATATTTAGTCGGTGAGGGGTTTAGGCACTAAGGACTCACCAAGACATTTTAAGTGTGCAATGCTGAGCACTTGTACCGCAGAGGCATGGCTCATTTTCATGGCAGCTGTCTGTGTGTTATCTTTCTGTAATGATCTGCGTAAAAAAAGTGAGAGGTTCTTGTTGTTTTTCCTCTCTCTCTCTCTCTCTCTCTGTTCCCAAAGAAAAGGGAAGATCATTTTCAACCCACGTGGAAAGCAGCACTTTCCCAAAGTTTCTGAAAGTTGCTGCAGCAGCCAAAACCCCAACTTTCATGGAAAACATACAGCGATTGAGAAGACAAACCCGTCATCAAAACACCGTCCCCGTAACCTTCAAAATTAGCATTGATCTCTCCCACTTCTACCCCTCCTCCGCACCCAAGCGCGTCCCAGCTCAAAAGCGGCTTCTTGTAGCGGGCGAATTTAATTATCAGTTCAAACTATGGAGTAAAAAAAACCGTTCGCCTTCCTGTAGGATGCGGTTTCCGTTTTTCGTCTAGACCCAAGCTTTCCCTTCCCCTACAAGCAAACAAACAAAACAAAAACACTCCGATCCTTCCATAACCCCCTCAACAAATAAAACAACCCGAAAAACATCCTCCGGATCCTTCAGTTTTATAACAATTGGCATCAATTAGACCTGAACTCCCCCTTGTTCCCAGCGATTCCTTCATAAATTCCTCAGACATAACAAGGACAATATTGCTAGAAAACTGAGGGATCTGAACAATAAGGAGAAATTAGAAACCGCCGCTTAAAATGTAGCTTTCGACCCTCCGTCCTGTCGCCCCAAACATCTCAGTTAAATCCAAGGGGAGTTCTGCCTAGATCAGGCTTGTAGAAGTAAACGCAGAGGGAGTTTGGGGTGCCCAGAGACGGAAGGATCGGGCCCTGTATTTGTATATTTCCATGCAATGGCTAACCTTGCAGACCTGAATATACACAGCAGGCTTGTCAGGGAATTTCAAGTTAAGAAAAATATTAGAGGGTTTTATTGAATTGTAAAGACTGAGAAACAATCTCCCTTGTTGATGGATAGCTTAATAGGTCCAGGGAACTAGACTCGATGGCTCTTCTGTAGAACCCAGGCAAGTTTTAGACAAGTAACACTAAAATACAAGGGCCACACAAGAACACAAATCATGGTTCCACTCGATTACCCTGTTGCATGTTTTTCCCTACAGGTACAACAGCAGAGAAGCTATAGGAGAAGGGTTAGTTAATGCTCAATACAAACGTTTAGCTACTAAAGATACTGATCGCAGAGAGCATACTGGTTGTCTGTATTTAGCAAGAAGGAGCTAACTTCGGCCCACCCCTGTCCTGCAAAACACACCGCGCTCCAACGTACTGTACTTTCATTTGGATTTAGATAGGTTTTCGTTTTGTTTTGGTTATTTTTCTCCTCGACTCCTAGGTTTCAAGGCTGCCCATGGCCGGAGAAGGGAGCCCCAGCAGAGTCCTGGTTTGTGGTGCGAAATGTGATTTGTCTGTTTACAGCAGGTTCAATTAAAGCAGTTATATCTCCTGCAACGGTTTGGGCCCAATCAAGGCACTTCCATTCAGAAAGTCAAACAGAATCAGCGTTTACACACGGCCGGTCCCGGAGACCGACGCTCCCCATTTATAACAAACCTAATGAGTCTTGAAGCGCTGTGGAACCCTTGATTGCTCTGCCATTGAGCTGACCAGGCAAATTGCCCCTTTTAAAGAAGTAGGTGTCTAGCGAAATGAACTTTGCTTTGTGTCACACAAAGAGCGAGGCCTGAGGAGGAAATCGGTTTGGATGAGAGGACGTGGTAACGCGGAGAAAGCCTGGCTATCCTTTTCAAATAAGCCGTGCTTCAGATAATCGGGCTTTCAGATGCCTGTCTCCTGGATCAATACTCCAGTTTTCAAGAAACACTCAGTTCTTCAGACCCAGGGATCGTATTAGATGAGAAATATTCAGCTCTCTCGACAGTTTTTCTTTTTCCTTATTCCACCCGGCCCTGCAGTCTGCTTCCCCCCTCCCCTTTTAAATTATTTTAAACAGAACTGTGTTTCTAATTTGTCATTACAAGAAACCCTAGACAAGTGCAGCGTGAAATGTTCAGGGTTTCCATTCAGCAACGTGACGCCAGGAGCAGGGAGGCACATACAGGCGAGAAGCTCATCAAATAAACATCCTCATTTGCCCTGCAACTTAATGAATGTCCAAACATTTCCTGCAGCCTCATGGTCGAGTCTCGGGTGTCTCGGTGTATCACGAGAACCCAGACTTTGAACCAGCGCGAAGTTTCCAGGCGAACCTGAAGGAGCCAGGCGTCCAAGCCACCTTCCATAGAAAGGGTCAAATCTTGCTGGCATTGCAGCAAGCCGCCGAGGGAGTAAAGCCGGCAGGATCTGACCCCGAGGGATTTAAATCTGAACCTGAGGTGATTACAGACGAGGGCTGGGCACGGTCCTGCAAATCTCCGAGGCTGGACAATGGCCCAAACTCGTGTTGTGCCCAGGCTAGCCATGGCGGAATCACCTTGTTTCCCCACTCAGCGGACCTGCCCCTGGTTAGGGTTTACAGGGAGCAGGACGGGGAGCTCGTTGAGGCAGTTCCAAGCTCACACTTGCTTCCCCTGAGCAGAGGTCACTTTGATCCCTCAATAGTTTGGGGTACTACTCAGTGTTATTCAATCGAAAGGTAACGTCTGGGAGCCTAAGGGTCAGTTTCCTTTTCGTCCACTAACCTAAAACCTCGCATTTGCTCCTGGTTTGTGTGGTTGCATGGGTTTTTTTAATATAATGGCTTGCCTATGTGTACATATACACACGCCTCTAGTGTCATGTACTGTGTGCACACACACGGAGAGATACTCCGCATCACGGTAGAACAGAATCCCCTGGCGTACCAGATAGACTGTGATCCGGATTAGGCTCCCTTCGGACCCGGCTCCCTTCGGACCCACAGCCAGTTTTTCACTTTCCTTGGGAGGAGGATCGCTCTCAAAAACAGCCAGCGAGCTTCCGCCCAATTGCAGATTCTTAAAAGGTGCCATGTAGAAATATTAGTCACTCGACGAACACTTCAAGACCCAGGTCAACCGCGGGCTTGGTCTGTTCCATCTCCCGGAATCGATGCCCTCCCCGAAGCTCTAACAGGCTAGTTGGTCTCACTCTGACACAAGCTATTCCACGCAGGTTTCTGCAGCGCAACTGGCGGCTCAGCCTTTCCAGCTCTTCCCTAGCTGAGCTGGGCTTCTGTAGGAGCAAAAGGCAAGAATCCATCCTACGCCTAAACCGCTGTTTGGTGTCCTGCTCTTCCCCTGCAGCGCTGCAGGCGTCCCGTGCCCAGAGGAGGGGAGGGAGGGGGTCCCATGTCGCTCCAGAGGCGAAACTCTCCAGGATCTCTGCGCTTTGTCAGCACGCCGGAGTATTTGACATTCACAATTACCTGTAAATACTCCGACAGTTTTGTGTATGAAACACTTTTTTAGCCTTCAGGTTGGAATCTGATAAGTTTTATCCAAGGGGAGGGGAGGGGAGAATTGGAAACTATTGCAACTTTACTGGAGGAGCGGTGAAAATTAAGTGCTGAGCGCTCAGTTACTAATAACGCCCCATCTCCCCACCCTAGGATTAGAATTAAGAGAGACGCCTTGTAATGATCATCTAACGTCCTCTAAACAGACAATACCCAACCGGTTGGGTTTTTTTTAAAAAAAAAAGTACGGAAGGTAAGGAACGATGGAATCCTATTACCAAAGAGAAAGAGAGAGGAAAGCAGATGCGGATCGATAGAACTGATTAAAAGAACATTACATCACACCGACAGATCAATTCACCCCTGGGTAGATTAGGTGACACCTTTCCACTCCTCACAGTTGCTAGAATATATCCAACCACATTTACAAAATTAACGAGATCTTAATTGGTCGTTGGGAGCTAAACTCCACATTCAGTCGCTCTATGTTTCCTCCAGCCTTTCAGTCCCCTCAGCTTTCCCTGCCCATCACATCATAGCAATTAGCAGCATGGAATTACCTGTCCGCTCCTTTGTGCCTCCTTCAAAGCAAAGAAGGTAAAAGTCACCTCACCTATTAGCTCGTGTAAGTGATAACGTGGTGGTAACTTCGAGCTACCACATTTTGAGATTGTGTGTCACATGCTTTAGCATAAATAAGGGTATTATGGCCCTACTGATTTACTGGATCAGTTCATCTGTGCACCAATTTGTGGCTCCTGCAGTTCTTTGCACATATTACTCTCTCCCTGGGAAGATTTTCGCACGCATGGAGTCTTGCCATTGCCAGATGTAAACAACAGCTCCCGTATTTTCATAGCGCCTCAGTCACTTCCCAACGAAGACGGACTTCTCTTTATTTATCAGCTGGTTTGTCCCGATCTGTCAGGCTATTTCTCACCAGATTCGCCCGTTCTCGTCAGAGGAATCTGAGTGTATTTCAACGCCTCAAATCTCCAAAAAGACAACACCCAGGGTGTTACACTTTTCAAATTGCTTGCTACACATAGATAGTAACTCCACTTTAATCAGCTGGCTGGGACCGTTTGTGAGTGTAGCGGGCAGGTTCAAAACTACACGCAGACAATATTATGGAGGTTTCAGAGTAACAGCCGTGTTAGTCTGCTGTAGCTCACGAAAGCTTATGCTCAAATAAATTGGTTAGTCTCTAAGGTGCCACAAGTACTCCTTTTCTTTTTGCGAATATTATGGAGGTGATACAACTTTCTTTGTACAAGTTTTGCAGTGCCGGGTTACACGCTTTGGAAGCATTCCGGTGTATTGCTTAGAGACTGGAACAACTCCAAAAGATTTTTAAAGAAATGTTTAATTCCGTTTCAACAGCAGCATCACGCGTTTGATAACTCGTTATGCCTTGTATGTATATACATTTAATAACCAAAAACAAATTAAACATAACGCGACACACTGAGGACGATGACACCGAGTGACCAAAAAGGCACTGTTCTTTCCCACAGCCCCTACAAAGGTTTAGACGAGTCAGAGTGTGTCATTAATTTCCTGGCTGGGGGGCCCCGATCCTGCTCTCCTGATCCAGGCCAAGCTCCAGTCGGAATTCAGGCTTGCTCAGTTTGGATCGGCGTTCAGAACCTGACCTATACTATTATGCTAGCTACGCTGGGACCTAGGAAATGTCGCGGAGCCTGGTCGCACGCGGACGGGACACGGTTGCTAACTTATTTACGCGTTCTGCGTTGACACTGAAATCAACACAGCCCCAGGAAGGACGGTACATGTACCCCTCTAACAAATCCATACTTCAGATATCACTGCCTCTACCCAGCCAAAGAAAGATTTCGAAGCCCATACCGTATGGGACCCGATCCTGCTCTTATAAAGTCAGCGCGATGTTTGCCACTGATTTCTGTGGGAGTAGGATAGGGGGCCGCTACACAGACATGTACTGGGACCAATTCTCCTTTCACAGCAGTTTTACCCTGGTGAGAATCTGTTGCCCTCACACCACCGTGACAGCAGAATCAGGCCTTTACAAATTCCCGTTTTCCATTCGAAATGCGCAGCCAAGAGCGACCGGCACGGGTCTGAAAAAAGTCCAGCCACTTCACGGATTTCCGAACGCTCCTGGCGTGGCTTCCGGTGCTTCTGTCTAACTCACACCTGGGCCTGACAGCACAGTTGTAAGGGACACATGTCGGTGCTCCAATATCTGCGCGGGTCATTACAGTCATTGTAAGGGGTTGGAATCTGACCGCCAAGATAGATGCTGCAGCGGAGTGACCGCAAACAGAGCAGGGCACGGCCTGGCTAATAATATCCCGGTCTGAACAAAAGGGGGAGGCAACAATACTGCGTGTGCCCGTGCTGTGTGCTAACTGAATCAGATCCTGGCTGCCTGCGCCCCACGCCCAGAGGCCGTTCGTTTCTATCAGCCCCAACCTGCGGCCTTTGTTCGCGCACCAGACTCCGAGTCTTGCTTGAGGTCTGCAGCGGGATGGGTCAAGTTTTAGCTATGGATTTCCAGCCACTGATCCTGGGTGAGTTACCCCAGCTCTCTTTTAGCAGAGATTCCCAATGCTCAGATTGTAATTCTCGGACTTGGTTAAAGGGGACACAATCCCCGCGGGCAAGAGGAGCCAGACACCGGTCTCCCCTTTGTTATCACCTCCCCTTTGTTATCACCGCTTTTGGACCCAGAGGCCTTTCAAAAGGACAGGACTTCGCAGGCGCTC